ATTCTATTCTATTCTATTCTATTCTATTCTATTCTATTCTATTCTATTCTATTCTAATCTAATCTAATCTAATCTAATCTAATTAAATAAATACCTTTATATTGACTGAGGTATGGCTAGCCAACTTATTTATCATTTGTATCTGAGTTTCATAATTTCTTTGTTTCCTTGTGTGTCCAATCACACTTAGCCAATAAAGAATTCTATCTATCTTTCTCCATCTCTAATGTTGTCTAGATTTTTGCAAAACATGGGTAGTATCCCCACAGAACATTGCTGCTATTGATGAAACAACAAGCAGGACCTCTCTAGGGAGACTTTAGGCCGGGTCTGATGGTATGGGAGGAAGCATGTTTTATGTACAGGTAGTCCTCAACTCACGACCACAATTGATCCCAAAATTTATGTTGCTAAGTGAGACATTTGTAATGTGAGTTTTGCCCCATTTTATGACCTTTCTTGCCACAGTTGTTAAGTGAATCACTGCAGCTGTTAAGTTAGTAACCCGATTGTTAAGTGAATCTGGCTTCCCCATTGACTTGTCAGAAAGTCGTAAAAGGGGATCATATGACCCTGGGATACTGCAACCGTCATAAATATGAGTCAGTTGCCAAGCATCTGAATTTTGATCATGTGACCATGGGGATGCTGCAATGGTCATAAGTGTAAGAAATCATAAGTCATTTTTTTTGTGCTGTTATAACTTTGAATGGTCACTAAACAAACTAGTCGAGGGCGGCCTGTACTTGGGTTAACTCTTTAGATTTTTATAAAATCAACACTTTAAAATCAACACAAGAAGTTCAGCATTTTAAGGATCTTATGTAGGTGTCACTCTGGATCACTGAATAAAACTATCCTGGTAGGTCACAATTGGCATCACACCTGAATATATTCTCATCTTATCAGTGAAGCCAATTATACTTTGTTATATTCTGGGCATGGGTGCAAGGAACGGAGACGAGTCAGAGAATTAGTGAACTTCAATTCTTTATTAAGGATTAGGAACAGAGCGTAAAAACCTTGGGCAGCAGCAGCTCTTTTATAGAGCTGGCTGCTGACCCGTTAACCAATGACCTGTGTCCAAATGCTTAACTTTTGCCCAATGGGAGATGTTCAACTAATAGCCAATCAGGCTGCTCCGTACGGACCAATCCCTGTTCGCTATCCATGGGCCAATCAAAGGTGCAGGATTACAAGCCTGCTTATCATGCGGTTGATAAGTTTTATTAATTCGTTTTTATTAGTTCATAACACCCCTCCCCCCTAGGTTCCATTTGAGGGGTGCGGTAACATACTCGCGTAGATATGCAGGTCATTTCACCTGCCTGTTTGATTTCCGCAGTTCCACCGGTTTTTGTCTGCAGTCCGATTCCGGTGGAACGCTTTTAAGGTTTTCTGGTACGGCTAGTTCCGTTTCTGTGCGGGAGGACTCGGCGTGGCTCTCGTTGTTGTTATCCCAGTCTCCTAGGCTTACTTCCGGGTCCCGTGGGCTTGCCTCCCTCGTGCTATTACTGGGCGGTGATGTCACCCCGCTCCCTGATTCTTCTTCAGGTCGAGCGTTTCTTCGGTTAGATTGCTGGGTCCCCGTGATTACGTCGTCATCTATTCCGTTTTCGGCCTCCTCGGTATCCCCCTTCCCCCTTAGTTTGTGAATTAGGGAAGTCACGGGAGGTGGGTGCCAATCTGGATCGAAGTTGATCTATATGGCGTTTCCATGCTCTCCCGTCATTAGTCTGTAGGCGATAGGATCTGGGGCCGGTGGGTTGGGTATAGTTGCAGGGACCCATAATGGGTCGCCAGAAAAGTTTTTAGCAAACACCAAGTCGCCTACCTTGAATTCGCGGCACTTTCCGCTAGATCCAAAAGGTTTTTCTGGTGAATAAGAAGGATGGAGACGGTCGAGGTGGGAGCGAAGTCTTCGCCCCATTAGCAGTTCGGCAGGCGTCTTATTCGTGATGCTGTGTGGGGTGATGTGTTGAAGCAGGAGTATTCGGTTGAGCTTGTCGTCGATGTCCCCATAGTCCATTTTATGTAGGGTTTTTTTGACGAATTGTACCATTCGCTCCGCCCTTCCGTTGGCCGCAGGGTGCGCTGGCGAGGTTAGCGCGTGGCGGATGCCCCGGTCCGCTAGGTACTGTTTAAAAGCTAGGGCAGTGAACTGGGGTCCGTTATCGGAAACTAAAACGTCTGGCAACCCATGCGTTGCAAATAATTTATTAAGTTTATTAATGACTGACTCTGTTGTGGTTGTTTTCATCTTCTGGATTTCTAGCCAGTTTGAATAGGCGTCAACTGTTAATAAAAACGTGTGTCCTTTGGTGGGTCCCGCAAAATCAACGTGGATACGGGACCACGGGCCCCGCGGGGTTTCCCACTCGGTTGGCGTCGCTTTAGGTGGGGCGTTGCTAACGTCTTGGCACTTCTGGCACGTGGTTACCCAGGCTGCGATCTGCTTATTGATGCCCAGCCACCATGCGTAGCTTCGTGCGAGTGCCTTCATGCGCACGATGCCCAGATGTCCCTCGTGTAATACTTTTAAAACAGTCTGTTGTAGCCTCTCTGGGATGACTACTCTATCCCCCCAGAGAACGCAGCCTCTCTGGGAGAAAAGCTCTGTTTGCCGATTCTTGAATGGTGCAAAATTGTCGTGGAGTTGGTCAGCTGGCCATCCTCGTTCGACCCAGCTGAGAACTCGTGCCAGGACAGGATCCCGTTTCGTCTCGATGGCGATGTCTCTCGCTGTTAGTGGCTGCGAGTGCAGCGCCTCGATTTGGAGCATCATGAGGGTTGGAGCTGGGTCGCTGATGGTTTCCGGAAGTGGGGAACGGCTTAACGCATCAGCGTGGGGAATGGTTTTCCCCGGGCGATGTTGCAACAGATAATTGTAGGCAGCTAGGAACTCAGACCAACGAGTCATTCTCGGCGATAATATATAGGGGGTTGGCTTGTCTCCCGCTATAATACCAAGCAATGGTTTGTGATCTGTGACTATCGTAAATGCTCGTCCATACGCTTCACAGCAGACACAACAGCAAGGGCCTCTTTATCGAGTTGGCTATAGTTCCTTTCAGCCTTTGATAATGTTCGTGAGAAAAACGCAATAGGTGCTTCATTTCCGTTTGGTAGTACATGGCTTAAGATTGCTCCCACTCCAAACGGTGAAGCGTCGCAAGTAATAGTTAAGGGTAAAGTCTCGTTGTACTGCATCAAAACAGCGTCGGAGGTTAGTAAGTCTTTCACTTGTTGGAAGGCGCGTTCCTCTCGATGTCCCCAGACCCAGGTTGCTCTTTTATCAAGAAGTCTGTGTAAGGGCTCTGCTACAGTTGCCTTCTGGGGCAAGAAAATGTTGTAGAAGTTAATGAGCCCCAGAAAGGCTTGGAGATCTGTTCTATTTTTAGGCATTGGGGCGTTTTTAATCGCTTTTAGCTTGTTATCAGTGGGATGGATTCCTTGACTATCGAGAAGGTATCCCAGGAACTCCACCCTCTCAGTACACAGTTGACATTTATTTTTTTTAACCTTCAGGCCGGCGTCTTTAAATTTCTTTAGAACCATTCTGAGACGCTTTTCTAAGATGTCTCTATTAGGGGCGGCGATTAAAACATCATCAAAATATGGCACGACCCCTTTTATTCCTTGTAAGAGTCTCTCCATTAAACTTTGAAAAATTCCCGGAGCTACGCTCACTCCGAATTGGACTCTATTGCACTTAAAAGCGTCTCTATGCGTAACGATAGTTTGTGCTTCCGCAGTTTCCGCATCAACGGGCAACTGTTGGTATACTTGTGCTAAATCCAATTTAGTGAATATCTTCCCACCACCCAGGGAGTGGAGAAGATGTTGAACCACCGGCACCGGGTAAGCACTCTGCTGAAGTGCGTGGTTCAAAGTGGCCCGATAATCCCCACAAATTCTTAACGATCCATCTGGTTTAATGGGTGTTACAATTGGGGTTTCACAACGGGCGTGGTCGGTTGGTTCTAAAACGCCCTGGGCTATTAATTTATCGAGTTGCTCGTCGATCTTTGGTTTGAGTGCAAAAGGTACCCGACGAGGCTTAAGGCGGATGGGAGCTACTTCGGGATTGAGGTTAAATGATAATGGGGTCCTCTTGTACTTGCCTAGCTCATCTGAGAAAACGTCCTGAAATTCTTGGATGATAGACTCTTCCCAGTCGTTGCTCTCAGCTCGGTGGACGCCGGCTACCTCGATCCCGAGTGGGGCGAACCATTGTAGGCCTAATAAGCTAGGCCGGTCACGGTCGACGACGGTCAGCGGTAATGATGCAATATGATTCTTGAAGGAGACTTGGACTTGGCTGGAACCGACGACCGGGATTCTGTTGCCCTGGTAATCCTTGAGTATGATCCTTTGGGGACTGAGGTCCTGACGACGGATGGCCAGAATTAGTTGTTTGAAGGT